TGAGAAAGTCACCACAGAGCAGCTGTCACAGACTTTCTCATAAAAATCCGAGTTTTGAACATGATTTTTACAGAGAAAAACAGCAGTATAAAAAGATTTTTACAGAACTCCAGAGAGAGCTTATACAAAAAAATCTTTAAGGATGAAAACGTTAAAACATTTGATTAAATGAAGTGTTAAATGAAAAAAAACAAACAAAGATTCTCTGGGTCAAAACTTTAGTCCATGTGGAGTTTTTTAATGCAACCTTATAAATATTTAAGAGAGTAGTCTGAAAAACCTTCGAACAGATGTTTCCAGAGTTGAAAGAGGACACAATGAATTTTAGCTTCCTCATGTCTAGACAAAACAGGTCACTGAAAATGGCCCACATTGCAGTAAACCAAGACCAAAAAGAGAGCAGAATTATTATGCATACATGAAAATGCTGTCTAATCTATCTATCTATCTATCTATCTATCTATCTATCTATCTATCTATCTATCTATCTATCTATCTATCTATCTATCTATCTATCTATCTATCTATCTATCGAAGAAATGCAATGCAAATGTGCATTTTCACACGATCGAGTTATCAAACTTTTTCAAAAGATTTATCTAATTTTTCATTTCCGTTTCTGGTTCAAATGCAACTCTTGTACTCAATGAAAGATATCATGCTGCTCACAGCCTGGGGGCTTTCAGACACTGCACAGAGCTGAATGTTTATCTTAATTCGGCTTTCAGTGTCCTACAGACAGGTGGCCTCTTTATGCATTCTACTTTATCGCCAATGCATCTAAAATAAACTCTATTATTTAACATGTCTCTTCTCATATGTCCAACTCAACTCCACAAACATCTTCAATAGAGAGCGACGCTTGGGGCCCTGACCTGATCTGTACCTACATCCAGCCACAACACTGCACTGGAACACATGTACACAGACTCAGAAAAGGAAGGATGGCATAACAGTCAAGTATATGCTATCAAGTGCGGCTCATCTATCATTAAGCAAAATCATAAAATCTTCAGGAGGCTGGAGAGAGGTTGGAGAAGGTACAATGCTGACAGAGTGTGGGAGGATGTGAGAAACAGACGGTAGGATCGGGAGGATGGGGAGAAGCAGAAGCAACTGAGTACGACTGAGCGGAGGGCCAAGTGAGAAACAGGAAGAGACAAGACGGGAGGTTCGAAACTGGATCTAGAATAATGAAGCTGTGCAGAGGATGATAAAACTGTCACATGAGATGAACTGGAGATGTGAAAGACACAGAGGGTGATTCCCTGTTCAGAGCAGTGTGGCCCTGCTTCCCTCTGGATCATCCTCCTAAGTCACACAGTCATTATGCTTGTCACACACCTGGATGTTCAGCAAAGACCAACAGCACCTTCCACACTCGCCTGCCTGTATGCATCTGCCTCCCTCTTCCTTCCCTCTATACTCCGATATTAAGTATCGGTATCGGTCCAATACTGACGTAAATTACTGGATCAGATATATGGAGAGAAATAAAAAATATAATCCGATCCATTAAATATCAAAAAAGCACCTCACAAAACTTGCAACATGGCGTAACTCGGCTCATAACCGTAGCGCGTCGGAGCAGTGTGCATCACGTGATAGAGCAGCTGTGTGTGTTTGTAGCCTCGCTACCAAACCGGCATTTCATCTCCGAGAAAGTGACCCCAGAGAGAAGTAAAGCAAGTGTGTAAGTTCATCTCTGAATGTTTGTAAAGCATTCCTGCGTTACGCTTAACAACCGATATATAGAGCGACCGCCTCTTCTCTCTCTCTCTCCCTCCCTCTCCTGCTGCTACTTCAATCATGAAACTGCTTAATGATCAGCTGATCGGCTTTTCTGTTGCGAGTCCGTTTGTTTTTGGCCCACTTTGCACCAGAAAGAAGAAACCAGCGGCTGAACAACAGCAGCACGTTTAAGCTTGATAAGCTGTTGTTAGAATTTATTTAATATTACTTTCTACACCAGGATCTTTTTCTACGTAGCTGACGCTGGTAACTGTGCAGGGGCGGATCTACCAAAGTTTAGCCAGGGGGGCCGATAGGGCATTAACAGGGAAAAGGGGGGCACAAAGAGATACTTTTCTTTCTTATTCTCATTTAAAATGTCTAGTTAATAATAAATAATTATCTGAATCTTACACTCAAAGTTTTAATCTGATGTAAAATGTATAGAAGTCCATTACTGTATATAGTAACTATTAAGTCTAATATACCCTAGTAAGCTATAGTACTTTTTCCTTTGGGAAGATACCATCTGTGCAGTCTGCAATTCTGTTGAAGAAAGATGTTGAATCTATTTAATTATTCTTGAATTTTTTTTTATTTCTGTGCATTTTTTTTTCACACTGCATCAAATTAAAGTTGATTACGTCGATTAAGCATCATGAGATGGTGGGGGGTGGTTCCCTATTTTTTTTATTTTTGCTGGGAGTCAAGGAATGGCCAAAAACCAACTAAAATGACCTTTAGATAACAAAGCAGGATGGGCATGTACTAAAAATGGACAACAGCTGATTTTTTAAAAGGAAAACATTGAATTTGTTATGTTATGAAAAAAAATTGTAATCCAGTGATTTCCTTTAAAATGCATCTGTTGTCCTTGTTATTTCTCGCTCAGAGAAAGAAAAAATAGTTCATTACAAGCAATACTGAACTATCCTTACTGACTAGAGCCAAAGAGGTTAGTCAATGAAATTATTAATCTGCTGACAGAAAATCTTTGACAGTAAATTTTGATCAGTAGGTAAGATTATAGCTATTTTTTCAGGTAATAGTACTCACTATTTGCAGATTTCACTATCTAAAATCTGCACCCCCACCCCCAACATAACATATGTGTATATACAATGTATGTTCCTCTTTTCTTATAATTTTTGTGATTATTTATTTAACCTTAAGGAAATAGAAAGCAAGCAGAAGGGAGAACTAAAGTTGCAACAGATGCAAGCAAGGGACAATACTAGAAAAGGGCAGAGAGAAGCAGTGAAATTCTGACAAGGACGGGGTGATAAGGTGACAAAGAGACAAATACAAACCAGATCATTTGTTATACAGAGAGAAGGTGACACAAAAACACAGAGAGATATGGATAACTTTAAAGTAAACAAAGATAAGAAATGGGTTTGTTTCTCAGTCGTGAGCAATTGTAAATGTTACTTAGAAGGTGTTTTTCATCTGTAATAGCTCAGTTAACTCTTAGCTTGTCGTGGTGAATGAATTGCTGTGCTACAGTCACTATTCAAACAGAGAGAGATGCGAACAGGACAAAAGAGATGCATGAAGGGGGGGGAAGAGAGGACAAAGTGGGGGAAATGCCAGCAGATCAAAATTAGGAATTACAGTTACTCGAGCAGCCAATTGCTCAAAGTGACGCTCATTAGCATATTAATCATTAGCATGGAGCGGCTGTCATGATGCACGAGGCTCAGAGCCACGGCCACAGTTACAGAGGTTTCTGTTCATGTTCGCCGCCACAGCCAAATATACAGCCTCTCTCCTGCTTCTAATGCCATGGCGCAGAAAAAGCACAACACTATTTAAGGCAAACACATTCAATTTAAGGCTGCAGATATTTCAGAAGAAACCCTGACTGTCTATACAGCTGTAAATCTTCTACACAGCTACAAGATGTTGTTCTGAAACAGTTTTACTGTAAAGAAAGACTTGCTTCAACCCTCCGTTATAAGGCAGAGGACCAAACCTTGAGAAGTTTTCCCATCAGTCACAGTGGATCTGCAACTCTCATCTGCAGTGTGAGAAACTGAAAGCTGTATGTCAAGTCTCTAGTATTAATTAAGTTGATGCTGATTTAACTCTGCAATGACAAGCGAACCATATTTAATACACGAGTCTTTGTGAGTTTTTGACACTGAGTTTTCATCAATGTGACACCCCCATCTCCCCACCTCAACCCCACAAAACTAAAATAAACTGAACATATTTAAGCAATAAATTGCAAAAAGTAAAACGTTGCATGCAGAAAATATTATACAAATTAAAACTTACATATATACAAATTAATATCTAAAATCTGTTTTACTTGTGAGAAGCTTCATTAAACACTCACAGGAATTTTCTGGCAGCTTTTTCAAAGTTCAGGCTTTAAAGAGTTAAATCACATTAATTTGAATTTTCATGCAGAAACACTGTTTGTTTGTTTTTTTTTCATTCACTGGTCAGTATTGGGGCCATTTTGCTTTCACAACATGTATTTTCTCAGAGGAGTGAAAAGAAAACATTCAACTTGCACATGAGAATATTATTTCAGTACACTCTGTTCATCCAAATGAGCACATACTTTGTTTGCATATCAAAATTTTGCATTTCAGATAACATTTCATTTATTTTTGAATAAAAATGTGCAAGATTTAGTAATATATCTTTTTTTTTCTTTAAAGACCACCATATCAAAATGAGGTTTTTTTCTTCATCCTGTGCACCAAAAACGTTCGATTCATTTGAAGGTTAGGACACACAATAAATGAAAAATCTTGTTTTCTATGCAGGGCATTAAAAAAGCTGTGCTGATCCTTCCAATAATGAATTATTCATACAGTGAGAAGGCCCAGCAGAATTTCCACAACCTTCTTACTTCCTAAAAAAAAACGGATGTTACACTCAGCCAGTTTGTCCAGTCATCCTCCAAAACAAGACCTTACAAATTGTACCAACTGCCTCTAAAACACTTAAATATGTAGGATATAACAAAGATACAGTTGATGTATCTGGTTAGATTTTCTTTACTATACTTGAAAAGAAAAGAAATCACGAATCTGCAAAGTGATTATGCAACTATTTTTATTCCAAAAGTTTATTTCTAGAATAAATGATGCCACCTACTCACCAGGGGAAAAAACCCAACATCTCAGTTTCCATTTCACAGTGATTTCCTAGATGCCTATTAAAGATCTACAATATATTCTTGCTGGGGTCGCTGGGGACTTAAAGCAAATGTCATGGTCATTAAAATGTGAATAATAAGTATTGGAACTTACCAGTTTACGTTGGCACCAGGTGCAGACGCCACACAGAGCTACCAGCCAAATGGCACATACTATGAATGCAACAGACACCAGGAATACACTGAGAGACACTGAGCCTGAGGGAGAGAGACAGACACACACAGAGGGTGTTAGTGCATTTATTGTAACAATTAGCCTTTTGAAGCTCCTGAGGTTTAAAGTCTAAGATGACTTGTTGAAGGACAAAAAAAGACAGAGCTCAACATTTTGGGGAAATGCTTGAGATAATCAGGAGTGATGCTTAGTAATGTGCTTTCCTTCCTTATTTCCTTCCTTCCTTTCACCATTCATCCTTGTCATTTGGCAACTGTCATCAGTAAGACAGAGAGAAATGTAACAGGAACGAGGGGGGCACAAAGGCAGTGAAAAGGCATCATCCCCATGTTCCCTGCATGTATCAATGGGCGATGCGCACATGTCAGGAAGAGATAATATCACGAGGCCAGAAGCTGTGCAATTACCAGCTTCCTTTTGCTCTCTTCTATCTCGTAAATCCTTCAGCAACTTTGTTCCCGTCTTGACAGATGAAAACTTCTTCCACAGCCTTCCATTCTTCATCTCTATTTCTTTCAGTTTCTGCCTATCAACATACAGCTCATCCCGCTGCCTGCCAAGCAATTCGTAATCCACTGGCACAAAGCAAAAGCAATGTTGGCAAACAATGAACTCATAACTGTTGCATCCTTTTTGTCTCTGCTACGCAGATGATCATTTTCTGAGTTCCCCTCCATCTGAAAAATTCATCTGACTGCTGAATTTTCCCTTGATCCCTTGACTTCATTTTTTATCCCTGCCTGTGCACCGACAGCAAATTTGTTGAGGCCAATAAATATTGGAAGAGGATCAGCTAAGTCAACTTAATCATTCTTATCCACCCTCTTGCCCATGCTCGCACTCTTTCCATCCACTTTCTTCTTCTCGTATTATGCACCTCATATATGTTAGTTTGGTTATTCAAATGTCAGCTTGTTTTACCCTCCATCCCCAATAAAATTAAAGTCTGTTCAACTCTTTGATAGCGTATCTGATTTTTGATTGTGGTGGCAATTACTCGAAGATGGCAGGGTTGAATTTTTTGCTCTGAGCCTTTCACTCTGGCAGCAGAGGGTGTGTTGTAGTAAAGTGTTTTGGTGCTTAACAGATAAGTAGGCTCAATCCTACAAGTGTTTCCATGCCCATTTAGAACAACACAACTAAAGCGGCTACAGTGCTCTTCAGCTGAGTAAAACACAACCAGCTGGGAAACAGAATAATCCTTTCATATCTTTCAGAATGAAAAGACAATGTGTGCGAACACATAAGAGCGATATTTGATGGGGTGTAATCAAAAAGACAAATTTATGATTGCATGATGAGAAACTTTAACCGGCTCACCACATAGAACATCAAGATAGCACCAAAGTTAAGCCAGTGCATGATCCGTGATGATATATGTGCAAGAAAACTTTATTCTTCACTCACTAATTATCTCTCTATATAGTTTCTAGTCAGGTTCACCTTTAATGCCCAAGATAATTGAAAGTTCAAGATACTTTAAAGATGCATACAAAGATATAAACGAGTGTATGCAAGCTATTACTGTATTGCTGCTTTCTTTAGTCTTTGTTATGGAAACAATGTTGTCATGGTGCACTGTTTTCGAGTGCTTGACTCACTTTTTACTTTAGAGAGAACATTTAAGAGCTGCATGAGAAGCTCTTAACCTCCTAGGACCTGGCGTCCACATATGTGGACATCGCATTTTGGGATGTCTAGACCAAAATAATACATTTTGCTCTACAAAATGAGCAAAACTGGGCCTGATATCCAGATACGAAGACATTATACTGCCACTGTTCTATTGACATTTAAAACAAATGTCCTCATATGTGGATCTCATTTCTCTCAGAAACAAAAATCAGGTAAAAAAAATCTGGAAATTCTTTGTTTTTACATTCATCAGGTCCCAATATGCCCAAATATCAAAGAGAAATTAAAAATGCATGCCATGGAAGAGTCCAGGTCTTAGGAGATTAAAGGTTACAACTTTTGGATCAGAATCCAAAATGTCAAGTCAAGTTTCTGAAACTGAGGAAAAAGAAGCTGAGAAAAAAAATGCCTTCGCAAGGAGGCAGTAAAGCCTATATGTTATACTGACATTGTTTTTTTTTAATCAATGTCAAGTGTGTTTTTTAACCTGTTATATACATAATTAGTTAAAAAGCATATCTTTAGATATCATAATATCCTCTTAATAATACTTTCTTCATGTAAATATTACGAATAGAGACAAACAAACACAATGCAATATGAAAGTCCCTTCTTATATTTCAAACTATGTGCAAAATGCTATAGCCAGCCATGGCCAAATTATCAGTGGACCAGCTGATTTATATAGCGCCAAATCACAACAAAAGTCGCCTCAAGGCACTTTATGTTGTGCAGTAGATACAGAGAAAAGCCCAACAATCATATGACCCCCTATGAGCAAGCACTTTGGCGACAGTGGGAAGGAAAAACCTCCAGCAGAACCAGGCTCGTGGAGGGGCGGCCATCTGCTGCGACCGGTTGGGGTGGGAGAAGGAAAACAGGATAAAGACATGCTGTGGAAGAGAGCCAGAGATTAATAACAGATATGATTCAATGCAGAGAGGTCTATTAACACATAGTGAGTGAGAAAGGTGACTGGAAAGGAAAAACTCAATGCATCATGGGAATCCCCGGCAGCCTACGTCTATTGCAGCATAACTAAGGCCTAACTATATGCTTTAGCAAAAAGGAAAGTTTTAAGCCTAATCTTGAAAGTAGAGATAGTATCTGTCTCCCAAATCCAAACTGGAAGCTGGTTCCATAGAAGAGGGGCCTGAAAACTGAAGGCTCTGCCTCCCATTCTACTTTTAAATACTCTAGGAACAACAAGTAGGCCTGCAGTGCGAGAGCGAAGTGCTCTAATAGGGTGGCATAGACTTGTGGCATATTATAAGTACTGACCTATACTCAGTGCTACCAGTTCTCAAACAGCACTGAATCACTGACTTCATGCAGCATCACACTGTTTCTGTGACATTCCTTCTCTTCATTATTTCATTCATGCCTGATTTTGCCTTTCATGTGTCATTTTGTGCTCACCTGGTTTCCCACATCTATCCAGTGACCCATTCCCAATTCCTTTAACTCCCTCAGTGTTTATACTGGTTTCATTCATTTAAACCAGACTGTCTATCCAGCTGTATTTCCCCTGGAGCTTTCCAGTCATTTGTGTGCTCAGTCTGCCCAGTTTTAATTCCCTATCTGTTTATGGACTTTGCCTTTTGCCTGTCCCTGTGATCCTGCTGCCAAACCCATCCACCCATTTTACCCTTCTCCTGTCCCCCCGGTTTGCTTGTTTTGTGCTGCTGTGACAGAAACATGTGTTATCTCATAAATGCGCCATCCTGTGAGCTCTGGTTATCTTTTCTGGAATAGTTACAACTCAACGGTACTATATTTCAGCACCACAGAGAGCTCCCTCCACCTGCAGGCTAAAGCAAGATCTGTGTACCTGATGATCTAATGAAGGATCAAATGGAGTTCAGCAGCACAGTTTATTGTCCTGTGCCTTCATTCAGTTTGACATTTATTTTTAAATATATGAAATAAATGTCAAGTCAACTGCAAGACTTTCTAAACACTGAACCGCTAAATATCCGCAACACAGAGAGGAGGAGCTGTGTGTTTGCAGCTCGCTTCCTGTTGCCAAAAAAGGCCATGAATCATAGAAAACATCCCAGAAACTGGAGTTAGGATCTCTGGCTCGTGGTTACAGATGTGGGTTTGCTGACACATTGTGTTACACCTCTGACAGCAAAGGGTTTTTTTCATGAACCTTTTTTCATTTTTTGTTTGTTTTTTTTTTGTCACTGACTTTTAAAAAAAAAGTCAAGTTGAGAAAAAATTCTCAACTTTATGTTAGAAGAAAACAGTAAAGTTGTAAAGCAGCAAGTTAACTTCATGAACCTAATGGAGGCAGTCTGTGCACTTAAGGCCACATTAAGCAAAGGGGCCAGAGGATTAAATTGATGGAACAAAGAAATGATGAACTGCAACAACTTTCCAGTTCTGATGACCTCACCATGACTGGGCTGGATACTTAACATCGCAGCTCGGCCTAACAAATACGTACCTGTTACACCCTTATCCATGCAAGGATAAAAAAAAATCAAGCCCGGTGATAAGTTTGCAAATCAAAAGTCTAACCCTGAAGTGTTGAGACTAAAAATCTTAAGCGAACTGTAGGGTTTATGTCAAAGTGCACCTGACAAAGAAAAATACTGAAATTTCCAGAAACTGGCTTCAAAGTATTAGTGGAGTCTTCACTAAACCAGCAGCTTACAGTTAAAAACCAGATTAGAAATAAAAACAAAACAGATGTATATGTGTATTTCAAACCTCTGCCTACTAATAAGTTTACATATACAGATTAATGGTAACATTTACCTTATGCATCATGGAAAAACTGTACAGGCTATGCTGATGTAACAATATCAAGTCAGGTCTTGGAGGGTTCAATAAATGTGAATTGCCTCCAGATGAAGCCCCCGCTGCGCTGTGTTTAGTATCACTCTCGGCACCACCTATGGCTCCAAATATAAACAAGACACTGTTACTATAACTCAAATCTCCCTCTCTCTCTGTCTTGTTCCCTCTGTGTAGTATACAACTGGAGCAGCCATAGTCGGAGATCCTTGTGATAACAATAACTGCAGTAAATGTAACACAGAGACTGATATTTAATTAGAAGTGATTTGCCATTCTTCAACATATTTTATTGTTGTCAGCATTTTTCAACTTGCAGTGTCCTGTCAACACAACATTATTTTCAATTATGGTAAGAAGACAAATGATTGAAACTGCCCATCTGAAAAGAAGTCTCTCTAAACATGCCTTAGTCTCCCTTCTCCCCACATGCAGCTCCAACAGATTGTAAGCCATTATTTAGTTTTCTTGTATTAATGTAGACTGCATCCTTGTGTTGCATTAATTTTTAATGATATTTGGTAGAAAGCTTGTTAAACTAGCTGGGGGGTGGGGGGGTCACTGGACTCCTATTGCCTTCCTG